AATGATTCATACTCTGAATGGTCTGGGGTTATCAGTGGTGTACCCCAAGGTTCAGTGTTGGGACTCTTACTTACTTACTTAATATACTTATAAACAATATAGGGTCTGGGATTAAAAATACTATTTCAGTCTTTGCAGATGACACCAAGCTGTGCAGTATAAAAACGTCCGTACAGGATTTCTCCAACTTGCAAGCCGACCTCAATGCACTGTATAATTGGGCAACTATGTGGCAAATGATGTTTAATGTTGATAAATGTAAGGTTATGCACTTGGGGGCTAAGAATATGCATGCATCATACATACTAGGGGGGGTACAATTGGGGGAATCAATGGTGGAGAAGGATCTGGGAGTTCTGGTAGATCATAAGCTTAACAATGACATACAATGCCAAGCTGCGGTTTCCCAAGCGAGAAAAATCCTCTCTTGTATTAAAAGAGGTATAGACTCCAGAGAGAGAGATATCATTTTAATCCTGTACAAATCATTAGTAACACTTCAGCTGGAATATGCAGTTCAGTTTTGGACACCAATTCACAAAAAGAACATTGGGGAACTGGAGAAAGTACAGAGAAGGGCAACCAAACTGATAACAGGCATGGAGGAGCTCAGCTATGAGGAAGGATTAGAGGAATTGAATTTATTCTCTCTTGAGAAGAAGAGATTACGGGGGATATGATCAACATGTATAAATATATCAGTGGTTCATATAGTGAACTCGGTGTAGAGTTATTCACCCTGAGGTCATCACAGAGGACAAGGGGGCACTCTTTACGTCTGGAGGAAAAGAAATGTAATCTCCAAATATGGAAAGGTTTCTTCACAGTAAGAGCTGTCAAAATGTGGCATAGACTCCCTCAAGAGTTGTTTCTAGCCAGCTCAGTGGATTGCTTTAAAAAAAGACTGGATTCTTTTTTTGGATACACATAATACAACTGGCTACTAACATTTATAGGTAAAGTTGATCCAGGGAATATCCGATTGCCTCTCAGGGGATCAGGAAGGAATTCTTTCCCTGCAGTAGCAAATTGGATCGTGCTTTGCTGGGTTTTTTGGCTTCCTCTGGATCAACTGTGGGTATAGGATTATAATTTTAGGATTATATTTTTTTTATTTTAGGATTGAACCGGATGGATTTTGTCTTTTTTCAGCCAGACTAACTATGTAACTATGCAATTGTTGTTTTCTTTCCAGAAACGCCATTCAGCTGCAGCACCGATCTGTTTATTCTGACAGCAACAGGATGTGCTCTCAGAATTTGCATCAGTGAGTGCAACGCTGCTGGGTGAGTTTTCTAATCTGCAGTTAAAATTAAAAAAAAAGAACATATATGTCAAAACATGGAGGCCTGGGGTGGTCAGTGGGTAGATCGCTCTTATGCTTCAGGATATATTTAAAACATTTTCATATTTTAAGTGGATGGATGCAGGGCAGTATATTCTAATGATGGGCATACCATACACTGTTTCAGATATTTCTTCTCTTTTTTTATTCAGCCCACAGGCTGCATAAAAAAAAATAGAACAACATGGAACAGCGACGTACTGGTACATCACTGGACTTTGTGTTGTTATACCAGGATGATGCCTGTAGGTACAGGCAACACTCTGGTATTTTTTTTTTCAGCCGGCGGTTGGCTTTCATGTAAAAAACAGTCCTAGCGACTAATTCTCAGAAAAGAATAGGTGTCACTGCCCATTGCTATCACAGGGGATTTTTACATTCCCTATGATGAAAAAAATTAAAGGGAGAGTGTAAAAAAAAACAAATCCATTAAAGCACCCTCGTCCCCCCACGCTTGCGCACAACGGTGTACGCAAGCATTGGCCCCGTGTTGGTATGTAAACAGAGGTTTTTCCGTAAACATCAGATCAAGGGCAGTAATTCTAGCACTAGGCCTCCTGTGTAAATCTAAAGTGGTAGCCTGTAAAGGCTTTTAAAGCATTGCCTATATATTGAAAATGTATGTAGTTTGTCGCTGTTGCGTCGGGCGTGCGCTGTTTCAAACGTCATGTTTGGTATCTATTTATTCGGCATAACGTCATCTTTTATATTTTACCAAACAATTGGAAAATTGCTGTGCTTGTACTGAGTAACATAAAAAATTGCGAAACCCACCATTTTATTCTCTAGGGTATCTGCTTTAAAAAATATATAATGTTTGGGGATTCAAAGTAATTTTCTAGTAAAAAAAAATACAGATTTTTTCATGTGAACAAAAAGTGTCAGAAAAGGCTGGGTCTTCAAGTGGTTAGAAGAGTGAGTGATGTGTGGTATAAGCTTCTAATGCTGGGCATAAAATGCCAAATAACAACACCCCCCCCCAATGATCCATTTTTGGAAAGTAGACACCCCCAAACTCTTTGCTGAGAGGCCTGTTGAGTCAACAGAATTTATTTTTACCACAAGTTTTTGGAAAATGAAAAAAAAAAAAATTTTTTTTTAGAAAACATTGTCACTTAAATTATAACTTGCTCACACATGCCATGGGTATATGTGAGAATACTCGCCCAAATTCTGCTACTTCTCCCAAGTATGGGGATACCACATGTGAGTATAGCCACATACAGGACCCCAAAATCCAATAAGCATCTTCAGGCTTTTAAATGGCTTTATTCCTCATTACACTTCCTAACACCTATCATAGTTTCGGAGGCTCTGAAATGCCAGAATCGTACATCACCCCCCAAATGACCCCTTTTTAGAAAGTTGACACTCCAAGGTATTTGCTAAGAGACATGGTGAGTATTTTTCAGATCTAGTTTGTTGCCACAAGTTTTTGGAATATGAAGAAAGAAAATGAAAGCGCCCCTGAAACTGTGATAGTAGTGAGGAATTACGCACCTTTAGGCTTTCAAAAAAGTCATTGGATTTCAGTCACCTGTATGCAGCTAAGCTCCCAAAAAGTCTTACACATGTGGTATCCCCACAATTGGGAGAAGTAGCATAATATATTTTGAAGTGTAATTCCAAATATAGCTATGGCATGTGTGAGAAATATACCATTTAAATGACAACTTTGTGTAAAAAATTATTTTTTAAAATTTTTCAAAAAACTTATGGAAAAAAAAATAAATCTTCCATGGACTCAAGATGCCTCTCAGCAAATAGCTTAGGGTGTCTACTTTCCGAAAATGGGTCATTTGGGGGATGTTCGTACTGCCCTGGCATTTTATCACTTCAAGAAATGTGATAGTCAGAAGGTAAAAGCTGCGTAAATTCCAGTTCCTATAACATAGTTTGTAGATACCTTAACTTTCACACAAACCAATTAATATACACAAAAAAATATAAATTTTGTTTGGGTACAGTGTTGCATGACCACACAATTATCAGTTGAAATAGCGCAGCACCAAACAGCAAAAAATGGCCTGGTCAGGGGGGTTGTTGTAAATCTTCCAGAGGGCAATTGGTTTAAAATAAAAAAAAAGTGTTCACTTGAGTGTGTTTTTACTGTTCTGGTGTTTATATATATGTGTATATTGTGGGAACTAGCATCAAATGTAGAGTTTTTTTTAACGCACACAGCCACTCGCTTTATTCCTTTTTAAAGGCCTTTTAGCCCAATTTTTATTTAAAAGAAAGTTTCACAACATGCTTCCCACGCAGGGGTGTTCACCATCAAAACAAATGAAAAAATATTCAGCCTCCTGGCCCTCTTTATCAGCCCTGCTGGTTAGCAGTACCTGTAATTATATGGGTCTCCCAGACCACTGGCTAGTCCCAGCACACAGCAGTTGGACTCCTTGAATGCACACAGCAGTTGGACTCCATGAATGCACACAGCCTCCTTCCAAAATATGGCTTTTTGCACACAGCTAGCAGCCACTTGCACATAGCTGCCCAGCCCCCTTGCTGCTCTGGCTTCCACCTCTCCTAGGTGGAACCCTCCTGATTCCTGGCAATGACCTCCTGTCTGTCGGGGTGGAGCCCTCCAACGCACACAGCCTTGGAGTCCTTGGACCGCACACAGCCTTAAAGTCCTTGAACGCACACAGCATCAGTCTCACACAAAGACACTCATTTAAAGCCCTGCACACACCTGTACCATTAGTGTGCTGGGGGTTCAGAGATTTCATCCCTCCCAAATCACTTAGAAATCTCCAGGCCACAGGTCCCAAAACAGGCTATACCAACCAAAGAGGAAACTGAAAACCCAGTTTCCTCTGCATTAAAAGAACTGCCTGGAGCCCATCAACCTGTATGGTTGAGAATCCTGGGTTATAACCTTAATTTTCACTGTGGCAGGATACAGCACTGCCACAGTATATATATATATATATATATGTATACATACATACATACATACACACACAAACATACACTATATTGCCAAAAGTAATTGGACATCTGCCTTTACATGCACATGAATTTTAATGGCATCCCAGTCTTAGTCTGTAGGGTTCAATATTGAGTTGGCCCACCCTTTGCAGCTATAACAGCTTCAACTCTTCTGAGAAGGCTGTCCACAAGCTTTAGAAGTGTGTCTATGGGAATGTTTGACCATTCTTCCAGAAGCGCATTTGTGAGGCCAGGCACTTATGTTGGACGAGAAGGCCTGGCTGGCAGTCTCCACTCTAATTCATCACAAAGGTTCTATCGGGGTGAGGTCAGGACTCTGTGCAGGCCAGTCAAGTTCCTCTACCCCAAACTTGCTCATTCATGTCTTTATGGCCCTCGCTTGGTGAACAGGTGCGCAGTCGTGTTGGAACAGGATGGGGCCATCCCCAAACTGTTCCCACAAAGTTGAGAGCATGAAATTGTCCAAAATGTCTTGGTATGCTGACACCTTAAGTGTTCCCTTCAACAGAACTAAGGGGCCAAGCCCAACCCTTGAAAAAACAACCCCACACCATAATCCCCCTCTCCCACCAAACCTTACACTTGGCACAATGCAGTCAGGCAAGCATCGTTCTGGCAACCGCCAAACTCAGACACATCCATCAGATTGCCAGACAGAGAAGCGTGATTCATCACTCTAGAGAACACTTCTCCACTGCTACTGGTGGAGTGCTTAACATCACTGCATGTGACACTTTGCATTACACTTTTTGATATAAGGCTTGGATGCAGCTGCTTGGCCATGGAAACCCATTCTATGAAGTTCTCTACACACTGTTGTAATCTGAAGGCCACATGAAGTTTGGAGGTCTTTAGCTATTTACTCTACAGATAGTTGGCGACTTCTGCGCACTGTGCGCTTCAGCATACGCTGACCCTGTTCTATCATTTTACATGGCCTACCACTTTGTGGCTGAGTTGCTGTTGTTCCCAGTTGCTTCCACTTTGTTATAATGCCACTAGCAGCTGACTATGGAATATTTAGTAGCAAGGATATTTCATGGATGGACTTATTGCACAGGTGGCAACCTATCACAGTAACACGCTTGAATTCACTGAGAGAGACCCATTCTTTCACAAATGTTTGTAGAAGCACTCTGCATACCTAGGTGATTGATTTGATACACCTGGGGCTATGGAGGTGATTGGAACACCTGAATCCAATGATTTGGAGGGGTGTCCAAATACTTTTGGCAATATAGTGTGTGTGTGTGTATACGTATATATATACATATATATATTTTATATATATATATATATATATATATATAAAAGAAATACAGCAGAATACATTTTGGCCTAAAACTATGAAAAAAGATTATTTATTTGCAACATTTTATAGCAGAAACAAACTTTTGTTTTTCAAAAATGTTGCTTTTTTCCTTTTTATAGTAAAAAATCCAGTGGTGAATAAATACCACCAAAATAAAGCTCTATCTGTCTCAAAACAATAATATAAAATTAATTTGGGTACAGCGTTACATGACTGAGTAATTGTCATTCAAAGTATGACAGTGCTGATAGCTGAAAAATGGCCTGGACAGGAATGCAGTTTATCATGCCGGTCAACAAAATAATCACAATCATTGTGCTAGGTCCCATTTTCAATGTGTCACACTAGCCATTTCAAAATCAAGAAATCAACAATAGAGTGTGATTATTTCGCTGAAAAAGGCCCTAAAATATTGTAGTGAGTATGTGCACAGTCTTAAAACACTTTGACTAGGCTGGTTTGTCAACAGGTCCCATGCTATGAAAAAAAAGAGCTATAATCTATTTATTTCATTGTAAAAATCCCAGAAAATATTGTTGTGAGTACGTGTACATTATCACTAGGCCAACAGGACCTACACCAGCCAACTTTTAAAAATCAGCGTACTGAGTACACTCCCAGGCTTCAAACAATTTGATTAGGTTTCTTTGTTAACAGGATCCACACCTGCCAGTTTTGAATAAAAACCCAGGATTAGAGTGCATTTATTTCACCATAAAAAGCCACCAAAACATTGCAATAGATACACGCTGTCTTTAAATACTTTGACTATTGGTTTTGTCAATAGGACACACACTAACAAGCTTTTAATATTAAAAAAAAATTTGTATATTTATTTTACTGAAAAAGTCCCCAAACTATTGTAATTGGTATGTTCGCAATATTTAAGTTTATTTTCAAAAAAATATACCCAGGCCACCCTTTTTTAACCCAACAGAAGAAAAAAAAATAACAGGCCCCCATTGGGGAAGTGTCCAGCAACCAGACTGCAGCAGAAGTTGTAGCTGACACATACACAAAACGGTATATCTGTAAGGGAATTCCCGTGAGACGGCTGGTGAATAGACGTGCGCATGTGCACAGAAATGCACGATCACGCACACGCACGGTGAAGATTGGCGCCAGACGGACTATTTAAGAGGTGCCTCTGCCTGTGCTGAGTGCTGACTGGTCTTCAACTGTTCCCTGTTTCCTGCTCGTTCCTGTGTGTGACTTCCTTGTTGCTGACCCGGCTTGTTCCTGACCTGACTCTGATTCCTCTCCTGCTTGATACTGGTTCCTGACTTCGGCTCTGCTCCTGACTTTGGCTTGCTTATGATTTGGTACCTCGCTGTCCGCCCATTGATGACCCTGGCTATTCCTTTGACACTGCTCCTGTCTCCTATCCCTGCTTCCTGCCTTGCTCTGGTGCACACCTGGCGATCTACCATACCAGCTCTGCATATTACTACTGTGCCTGAATTGGAGGTTCATCAGTCTTCCAAAGTCTCCAACTGCAAGAGCTGCAAACAACATCTGCTGGCGCTCTTGTCCCCCTGGTCCCTAGACACCCCCTGTTCCACTTCCAGTGGGGTCAGGGCTAGTGACACAAGTGAGGCCGACCTCGTCATTTCAGTCTCCAATCAAGTACGTGACAATATCTTCCTAAACACACTCTGATGCTTCCCCCATGATGGGCCTTTCTAAACAATTTTTGACACAGTTCCGAGGCTAGGAAGTGCATTGTTTGTAATTTGATGTTATGGGCAGGAACAGCTGTATTAGTTTTCCATCTTTTTGAACTGTGAATAACTGTTGGGTCAAACTCATAGTGACCTGAACCCAGAGGTTATTCCTACAGATGACGTGTGGTTTCAGATCAGGACTGTGTTAGGCAAACCTGACCCATGAATATGGTAACTCTTATGGTCATGATCAATGTGAATGGACCTTTAAAGAAAAGCAAATCATTTTTAACAGGGTTAATATAAAAGAGCATTTCCTACTCCTTTGCTTCTTAGACACAGGAAATTGTCTCCTGTATATGTATCAGTTTACATTTCTTTGTAGATGACTCATTGTTGAGAGCCAGATCTGTCATTTGTTTCTTTTTCCAGTATTCAAGAAATAATGTATTACATTGCTACATATTAGTATTTCCTATAGTGTTTTTCCACAGTTCAAAGTTGTTCCCCCAGCACCTGCACTGCTAAAATAGCCAATTCGAAGGCTAAGTCATTTGGGCTTATTTAAATGTGCTGTATTTTTTTAAATGAATTTTAAATATCCAAAGTGACATTTCTTTTATATACACAGTGAATGAATGATTTAATGATGATATAGTAAATACTGCTAACCTTTATAATTGGACAGAAAACAGTGATAGGCAATATAATAAATATAGAAGGCCTCCGGTGCGGCCCTCTATCCTAAAATACACTATATTGTCAAACGTATTGTGACACCTCTCCAAAATAATTGGATTCAGTTGTTCCAATCACCTCCATGGCCACAGGTGTATGAAATTAAGCACCTAGGCATGCAGACTGCTTCTACAAACATTTGTGAAAGAATAGGTCGCTCTCAAGAGCTCAATAAATTCAAGCGTGGTACTGTGATAGGTTGTCACCTGTGCAATAGGGAACAACAGCAACTCAGCCACGAAGTAGTAGGCCATGTAAAATTACAAAGCGGTGTCAGCGCATGCTGAAGTGCACAGCACACAAAAGTCACCAACTGTCTGCAGAGTCGATAGCTAAAATTTGTGTGGTCTTCAGATTAGCACAACAACCATGCATAGAGAACTTAATAGAATGGGTTTCCATGGCTGAGCAGCTGCATCCAAGCCTTACATTACCAAGTACAATGCAAAGTGTAGGATGCAGTGGCATAATGTACACCACCACTGGATTCTAGAGCAGTGGAGACATGTTCTCTGGAGTGATGAATCACTCTTCTCAGGGGTCGGACTTGGCCTCTTAGTTCCAGTGAAGGGAAATCTTAAGGCATCAGCATACCAAGACATTTTGGACAATTTCATGTTCCCAACTTTGTGGGAACAGTTTGGGGATGGCACCTTCCTGTTCCAACATTACTGTGCACCAGTGCACAAAGCAAGGTCCATAAAGACAATGTAGTGTATTTCATAAAGATCAGATGAAATCAGGTTTGCATGCAAAGAGATAAGGATTATGGGGAGATTTTTAAAGGTTTGATTTCAGCAAAATTCTGAATGACCTTGAACTCACTCATGCAAGTTTTTCACTCTCATGCAGCAGACACAAATATCATTCATTCAGTTAGCATTTTGGTCTTGTCACACAAAAAAAACCTTTATAGAAAAGCAAATATCTGCAGAGTTTGAATGCTGTCTGTTGCAGAATACTGGTATCCAGGGACGGACTGACAACTCATGGGGCCCCCGGGCAATAGAGGATCATGGGGTCCTTGTGTCCTTGCCCAAACCCAAAAAAGCCTATGAAAAAGGTACCAGGGGCATCTCATGGGGCCCCCTACCGACCCTGGGCCCTCGGGCGGTGCCCGAGTTTCCAAATGTCAGTCCACCCCTGCTGGTATCCCTAGGTCTGCTGAGAAACCAAGACTTCTAGAAATATAGATTTCTTGGATCCCCTGCAATTCCTCCAGCTGAACTCCCACTTTAGCTCTTCCCTGCTGGCCAAAGGAGAATGGTGGAGCATAACATCAGTATCTCAGTAGAGGGAGAAAAGAATAAAAGGCAATGTCTCCTTCTCCATATTGCTGTAGCCCAGCAACTAGCTGCATACTCCCCCCACTAAAACTATTTGGTCTCCAAAAATGGTAGAAAGTCCTTCAAACACATAGCGTCCATAACATCAACATAACTGGAACAAGTAACTTAAAATGAGCATCAGTTAGCATGCACATAGACCTAAATAATTATCACTGACACCTGAGACCAACAATGAAACCTCCTACCTATTGTCAGGGGGTGCAAGGATATCTTGTTTATTGGCCATCAATGTAGGCATGGCCTACCTCAGTGTGTCATGGGGTAAGTACAAGTCACCCCCTACCAAATTTATTGTAAGGACGGTCAGCTTATCATTAGTCCGTTTTGTCGTGTAGATTACTTCTTCTGAGCTTTCTCCCAAGGTGTAAAATATCAATCTATTTGGGACTGAATAGCTCACTTGGTTTGTGGTTTCTGTGATACAGTGGGTTCAGCATCTTCTATTTCTGTTGTTACCTCCATGTGGTCATTTTATATATCTTTTGCTGTTGGTAATATTACAAGGTCTTCTGGGGCCTCTAACAGCTGGGGACCCCCGGGTCTGTTTCTTTGGTTAGAGAAAATATAGTAGTCTCATCAGGTGGAGAGAGCCACAGCCAGTCTATAAGAATGAGATAAGTAATTTTTCCCCTTCACTGATGTGCACTGATGAGGCTGCACTGATAGGCTGCACTGATGGGCACTGATAGACAACACTGATGGGCACTAATAGGCAATGCTGATGGGCACTGATAGGAGGCACTAATGGGCACTGATAGGTGCCACTGATAGACGGCACTGATGGGGAGGCACTATTAGGTGGCACTGATAGACAGCACTGATGTGGTTTCACTGATAATCAGGGCACTGATGATCAGTGTCCTGATTATCAGTGTAAATGTCCTGTCAGAATTGCTGGCTACTGGTTCTCCTCTCCTCATGCTGTGACAGCACGTGAGAAAAGGACTGCCAAAAGGACTGTCTGTTTACTATGTGATTAGCATTGATTGGGCACAGCTGACCCCAAGGTAAAGAGCCACCGTGATTGGCCCTGTATTGCGATCTGTGATCAGAGGTGTCCCCTCTTGGGGTGTGGTTCTGGGAGGATGTCTATAGTGTGGTCAAGAAGAGGTTAAAGAACATCAGTAAAGTGAGGAAACTAAAATATTTTTGTAGACATTCCTTTCTTCTGAATATAGGCTAATGGCT